TGCAGTGAAACGTCCGAGCCATAATCTTTTGAAAGAATCCTTTATACCAGATTTCGCAGGGTAATTTTCGAGAAGATAAAAAAGTTTCCAAGGAACGGTCAAAAATTCGATATTTAAGGCGTAGCAGCTTACATATCGGCGACGTCAAAAGATTTTTTTTCCATTGAACCCTAACCTCAAATTTGGCAGAATAATTCGAGCAAATGAAACCATAATAAATGAAATCCAAAAACCATCACCAGTTTCGACCAAAAAAATATGCCAAAAAAGGCTCAAAATTTCCCCTTAATTAAAATTTCCAAGGCCGTAAACCACTGAATAAAGTAAAAAAAAACTAGCGAATAAGCCGATACACGGAAGAGTAGCCAGTCATTCCTCTGTCAGCACTTTTTATGAAAAATGAAAATAGGGAAGTTAAGAAGCAGATTTTGGCAGTTTTTCCGATAGAAAGCTTGGTTGTTAATCTCTCCACACACATGCATACATTGATACATACATATACACACACAATTGCAGAAAAACCAAAAGACCAGAAATATGAGAAAATCAGGAAACAATCGAAAACATAATATTGGATGGGGAATACACATGAAATTTGAAATTTAACTAAATGAAACTGTTTCAAACAAACGGTTGAGCATAACAGCTGACAATTTTGACAAAAAAAAACTGTTGAATTAAAAATACTTTTTTACCAAATATATATTGGAAAAAAGCACTGAGGAATCGACGGTAGTTTTATTAGACCATTGCTCAAAATTGTTTGGATCAATCGAAATGCAGGCAAATTCCATACACACATTGGTAATCTCTTGCTACATTTTTTGGATCAAACTAACATCTAACCAAACCCAGCCGCCAAAATTTTAAAAACCGTTCTGATAATAGCTTGAATTCAATCAAATTTTTAGTTGAAAATTGTTTTTGACGAAAGCTAATAACTACAGAGTAAGGCATTCCAAATTTTGAAAACAAAATTAATTCGTTTTTCAAAAGTTTTTTTGAAAAAAAACCACAAAAAACGTCATATCTCAAAAACTACAACGATTTGAGCAGTCATATTTGGAGGCAAGATTCGCAACTCATGAGAGTAACCTGACAGCACCAAACTGAAGGGTAAAAAAATTCAAATTTTGAAAACAAAACTAAAGTTTTAATTTAGAAAAAAAATATATTTAAAAAGATCGAAAAGAAGGATTGAAAAAAAGACCGAAAAAAAAAGATAAAAAACAGAGAACAAAAGATCGAAAAAGATTTAAAATAAAGATCAAAGAAGGATCGAAAAAAAGATAGAAAAAGAAGGATCGAAAAAAGAAGAATCGAAAACAAGACAGAAAAAAAAGAAAGAAAACACTGATAAAGATTAAAAAAATTGGAGGCAACCGTTTGACAGTAGTATTATTTTGAACTGATTCGTCGAAACCAAATTAAAAGTTGAAAAAAAGGAGACGGGTCGACAGATATAATCAAATTTAATGAAAAAGCAGGTATACATACAGACAGACTTAATTTGGCCCCGAAAAAAAATTACTGGAAAATTAATGGCCTTGCTGAAAACTGATTGAAAATTTTCTTAAGCATTGCAATATACGATGTAGCTTAAACGTGAAAATTCTTTTGTTAAACATGCAAAACTATTATGCTTAAGCATGGGAGATAGCTGTCACTCGCATTTAAATAGAGTATAGATAGAAGGATAGAATAAATACTTGAACTGTTGAAACTAAACTGAACCACTAGTTTTTTCATAAATGTTGATGGAACCTCTTGCCAAAAAACACAAAAACTTTACTGAAATACTAAATTAGAGCTTTGCACACAGAAATGAAGCTGCAACTTCGCAAACACAAGCAAAAAAAAACAGCTCTCAAATGTTCAAAAACGAAGGAAAAAGAAGGAAAGGTAAAATTAACAATCACAATAACAAGAAAGCACTTTAAAAACAGCTTTTTTCAAATTGAATCGTTTGAAAAAAGCTGTTTTTAATTAGTATGACAAATGGATCTAAACTCAAACCTAGAATTAAGGAATATTTGATTAACTGACACTGAAAAAAGAGTAATGAACGAAATAGAAAAAAACTGACTTGTTTTTCGAGGAAAAACTTCTATTTTCGAAAATTAAATGAAAAACATTTGACCTAAAAGCCCTTTGAAAATCACAAAGATTTATGATTGGTGCTTTTTGAGAAAAATTAACCCAATTTGAGAAAATTGAATCAAAGGAAAAAATGTCGCTGTGAAATCTGATAATTAAATTCATGTTCAAAATTAAAAATCGATCACGGTTTTGTGACTCTCACAATTTTGCTGCTCGATGGTACAGTTTGCCTTCCTTTTAACAAAAGAAAAAAAGTGAACTTCAAAAAAAATCAAACGTCAAACTGCGAAAAATTAAAATTGACATTGAACAACTTAAAAGCTTTTTCTGGAAAAAAAATCACCCAGACATATATTGGAGCACCCACTAAGTTCAATATCTTCAAAAACTTCTCGACACTGGGAGGTAATTTTGGAAACTTTTGATGTTCGAATCTTGATTGAAAAGGTTTCAAAATGAAATGTCACTCGACCCCTCCCAATCATTATTTGTGGTACCTGATTTTGCGTGCAACCTTTTTTTGCTTAAATAAAACAAATGCAGCCAGTTGCTGTGCAAACAGGCGGTTCGAAAAGAGTCAGTGAACGCAAGTAAACCGAAAAAATACTTATGTTTTTTTTTGAAAATCTCAACTTTAAAAAAAAAATAGATAGTCTTAAGCTCTTTGATTTTCTAGAAGAAAAAACTCGATCAATAGGCAAAGTTTTTATTCCATTGGGAAATCTAAAAACTAAACTCCACTTACGAAACTAAAGAAAGCGATCACGATAGTAGAATTTACGAAACTCTAGAAATCGATTAGCAGCGGAGATGAATCGAACTTACAAAGGAATCACAAGTCAAACCAAGAAATTAAATTTGAGCCTGAGCAAATTTTAAGTTCCTTTAAAAAATCAACAAACCATCACGACCTCTATAAAAGTCTGAACTACGTTCACCGACTCTTAAAAAAGACGTTTCAAATTTGGTTCGACTGGATGATTTAATCGGCATTGAACACTCTTTAGAATCATTACAAGCACACTCAATACCATTGTAATCTGTCTCTTTCTGGAGCCTTCTGAAGGACATCGACTGGATGGCGTGATCATTCGACGGTTCTCTCTGGTTAGAGTAGCTTCGCACTAGATTAGCATGACTGCTGTTATTGGATCCCATTTCCTGTTTCTCTCGTTCAGTTTGCTGCAGAAGTCGAAATGTTTCAGACTGAGTGGGATCGTAATCTTGGCCTCCCGATTGTCCGAGGGCGTTTGAAAGCTGTCGACTAAAATGATACCAAGTCATTAAACATTTACAATTAATCATCTATACGCTACGCAATATGTACTACAGTCATGGGACAAAAAGTCACGGGAAAATGTTTTTAATTTCAACGAGCAAATGAAACAGCTTTTTTGTTTACGTTTTTGTCGTTTTCTTTGGATTGAAATTTTAACGCACTCTAAATGAAACTCTTTGAGAAAAGCTAGTCAGGTCAAACCTCAATACATCTTGTTCGGAAAGCGTTAAATAGACATTATATCATAACTGGTAAGGCTGTGAAAACATCCTCGCAAAAAAAGACAAAAAGTTACAATTTATGGGCATAAATTGGTTCATTATGAAAGCTGATAAGCTTGACTTACTCTTCATGCCTCTGATAAAAGAATTGAAAGAGTTACGTGGTTCGATGACAAAAATGGTAGTGCCTGTTTCGACGCCACAGAAATTGAGAGGGCTTGGGCACTTTCACCAGAAAGTTTGACAAAGTGTAGACAACATGACTTCTAAGAATCCTATGCCTGTATTGGAGCAGTCATTTTCCCCGAGATAATTCTTGGATAGTCAGCACGAAATAATGACACGGGTCTAAGCTGCGCTTCGCAAACTCAAGCGCAAAAACGCGAAGTATCTTTAACGAAGTATCTTCAGAGCGGCCAAAAATGAGAAACAGAACAGAAAAAAAACTGATGAAATTCGAAACAAAAATGACCTCTACGTGAACTGAACCTAAGTCCTAGTTCAGTCAAGTTTCCCCGTTGAATGTTCCGCACAATTGTCCCACTGACACCAAAGACGAGCGAGAAAGCGGCAAGGGAGCTTAAAATGTTCAATTGCATGTAGAAATTTGGAATGCAATTAACTTAAAGTAACCACACAAACTTAAAGCAACCACACAAGAAGCATAAAGCCTAATTGTGTAAATATTATGCATTTCATAAAAAAAAATTTGAGGAAAAAAACATTTGAGGAACTAAAGATGCATCAACTGTGCTAGCTAGTTAGTAATCAAGTGTCACAACAAATGCTATTGAGTAGCCTATTCACCATCCTGATACAAAAATTCCACCAAAACAGCACTATCATTTGCGACTTTGATTCGAGAACAAGTAGCTTCTAGTCTAACTTCACACTACGCTTCACTTGCGTAAAAAATAGCCGTTTTTTGACTCCGGAACAAGTAATTCTTTCACTCAGACGCCTTTGTATAAACCCGTTTTCTGATGCAAGACTAACTTTTTGATCTCTTACCAGTCTTCCATCTCATTACGATATGCTGGCTCTTTTATGCTTTCAACGCACGACTATTCAATATTTGATTCGACTAGCGTTTTGCAAGTAGTTTGATCAAACATGTCTCAAAATTTCAACCCTTCATCTTCAACAAATGCGCAATAAATACGAAACCAATTAAATTGTGAAAGAAAAACTAACTAACCGCAGTCGTTGAATGTAACCGCATTTAATTCCATTGCTCTGTGCTTTCTTAATTAAACAATGTTTACAAAGAGGCAAAGCATTGCTTCGCCAGCACTAGCGATGATACGACAAAAAGCAGCTCTACAAAGTGCAAAAAGAAAAAGTAGATACATATCACGAATTACAAAGAATTCGGTAACGTATAGAATTCGATCTGTGACCTAGAGATAATACGTCTCACTCAAAAACCACTCAGCCACGGACGTTTAATAAATCACAAAAACTAGCCACAAATAAAGCAGAAAACAGATTCTATGAAATTTCCGAATCTAGTGATTATAGCAAAACGTGATTATAGCAAAACTGCCACCAAATAAGTGAACATTTTAAGGAACACTTCTATTTGAGAAATAGGTAAGAAAAAAAGAAGGTTCGTACTTATACACTAACGCTTCGCATCACTTTCGATTCAAAATGAGTGGCTATTATTAAAAGCAAAAGAAAAGACACATCAAAAATTGAAATAAAAACTTTCAAAATATCGCATTTTTTTGTCAACATTTTTAAAAAATGCAGACAAAAAACTTCTGGAAACAAATATCTTGCAGCACTAGAAACTTTAGAGAGCTTTCAAAATGCACAAAAGAAACCAAACATTTCTCGGTAACTAAGCCGTAAAAAATAAGCAGTCATGAAAGTTTATATTGTTCGAAAACGTTCAACTTCCACCAAAAAAACAGGTCCCGACTGAAATTGAACTTCCGAGATTTATCGTCTCAAGCATGGGTGTTCCAACTGCACTGAAAACTCCTTGATTATATAAAGAAAGCCAAATCCAAAAACTTTTAATAAATAACGTGAAAAAAATAAAAGAATCAAAACAAAACCGAAATAAACTAAAATCAAGGAAAAACCGCCTAAATTTCAGGCAAATTTAGAGCTGCGACAACTACGACGACAAAAACAAGCAGATAATTTCCCATTTAGAAAAAAAGGGATTCGAACCGTTAACTTTTGTCTTTATAGGCAGGTGCATTATCTCTTCGCCTGAATTATCGTCTGAATTTTGATTTCGTATGAATCAAAGGTAAAATGATTCAATTGATTCTGTTAAACTAGATGTTAACCCGAAAAAGTTTATATTCCGCTTTGATAACGCTTGCTAACCGCAAGCGTAATTAGTATTCGAGCTTTGTGCTAGCCGCTCCATACACCGCATTAAAATAAACTACATTACAATCTCCATTGATCGCCCATTTTCGAATTCACTTTCTTTTTGAAGGGCTCTACTGCCTTCCCTTTAGCAAGAGAATAAGAAGTGAAATTGGAAAATCAAAAGCCAACTGCCACAAAAAAAATCAATGAGCAAAAAACATAATTTAAACATGCGAAAAATCACTTCGTTCATTTACATCCCAGTCCATCATATTACGCCAGCAAAAAATTTGTAGCCGATATACATACCCCATGACAATTTGAGCTTCGTTACCAACACCTTGAGTCTGGTCCTTGAGGGTGGTATACACGTTGTTGGACGAGTAAAGACCAATTGGTGAGTTATACTGCAAATGCTGCACTTGGGGAGCACCACCCATTACAGTTTTCGGTGATGGCTGATTGTAGTTGTATGATCCCTAGAACATTACAATACTTTCATGTAAAATCAGAATTCTCTGAGAATTATGTGAGCGCTGCTCGTTTGATTTATTTGTGACACTCGAACTATTTAAAGCCTTCGAATGAAAAATTCATACTCAATAAGCTCATTTAAGAAAAAGGATTCAAAAACAGAGCCCAAATAAACGTCCACCGAGAACTCATTTCCAGAGCCCAATGATGCCGCCCTCTCGTGGGGGACCCGACACGCGACAAGTCGTCGCAAATGGCACCAAAACACCTCGTGTTTGGGAGCGCAGAAAGCAAGCTTAAACCGTGTTTTTGGTGGCAGAGCGTCCAAAGTCGGCTGGCCTGCTCCGTCTATTAAAGCTTATCTTCCTTTTACGTGCCGACATTAACCCAAGCGCAGGCTACCTCTAACACAAATATCTCCCGGTCTCAAGCAAGTGTTTGGTGTCACATATGCGGATGGATCCACCTAAAATGTAGTGGACTCGCAAACGTCAAACAAAATCAGAAATTTTTACTGTCCTACTTGTATTAGCAAAAATATCCTGCCCTCCCAGTTAACGATACGCCTAAGAAGCAACAAAAAACATTAAGACTACAAACCTCGCTACCCGAGTAACAAAGACCCCGAATGACCCATACACTAATCCTCAAAACCATAAAGCGCACACTACGTTTATCAATTAACCCGCGCTTACCAAAATCTCCCAGTAACCAATCCCAATCTACAAAAAGCCTAAACTTTCTTCAACTGAACTGTAACGGAATATCAGGGAAAGCACCCGAAATTGCTGCAATTGTGTAAATTTCAAACTAAACTGACTGAAAAAATAAACCGCACTCCCTCGCTAGGCCCAAATTAGACGATAGTCAGAAAAGACCGCCCCCGAACAGGTGGTGGCATTTATACTGCCATACGCAACTCACTTTTACAACGAAGAGTTGCAAACAGTGGAAGACGGGACTTCAAAGCGCAGTGTTTTAAAATAATGGCCAGCAACCAAAGCTTCCGCTTTACTAACTTTTACGTTCCCCGCGAAGTAGCTGTCAAAAAGATTAAAAGGCTCCATATGAAGCTGCTCGTGGAAGACAGTGAAACTGTCAAGGTAGACGCAAATGCCCAATCCCCCTTCTGGTACTCAAATATAGCGGATAATAACAGAGGCTCCTCTTTACGTGCTGCAATTACCGACTCTGACTTCACCCCTTTAAACGACTACACTCTAACTCGTTTACCGCTTTTAAATTTAGGGTCAGACCATCTGAATATTTTTATAGATCTCCCTCTAACAGAGGATATTCCTTTCTACGGCCAAAAAAAAACTTTCATAAACTTCAACAAAGCAAAATGGGACGATTTCATAGAAGAAATTAAAAGGAAACTCTAAAACTGTTTTTATGAAAGACGTTAACTCCGCTGAACTTATTTTAGAAGCGTAACTCTTAAGGCGGCTCGGCGCGACATTCCAGCAGGCGGCTCGGCGCCACATTCCAGTTTGTATAAACCTGCCTTAACAGCTTAAATTAAATTATTAGCCAAGAGCGCGATAAAATCAGACTAGAGAACCCCTCAAACCCTATTTTAAAAAACTTAAACCAAGATTTGATTTAAAAACGGCAGAAGAAAAAGAAGAAATGGCATGAAATCCTCGGGACGTTTACTCACCACACGACGTCCAATAAATTCTGGAAAGTGGTTCACTCCATAAATGGAAACAAATCTGTTGCTGGATCTTATTGGCAAAAAATTTTTGTAGGCTAAACAAATAGCCAAGGCTTTTAACACTCATTACACGAAACTCAGAACCCAAATCTAACAAACAGCACAGAAAAACCAAAAAAATACAGTAACGTTTAGCGATCCACCAACTTTTCTCCCCTGTGAAACAGAAGAGCCAATCAAAGCAGCTAAACCCGTCAAAAGCGTAAGACCCAGACAGGATTTGCACGGTAAACCTGAAACATCTGGAACCAACTGCTATCAGTTTTTAATACATACTTTCAAGTTGTACTTATTGTATAACAAATAACCTCATAAATACAAGAACTCAAAAGTAGTCTCCTCACCAAAACCAACCAATGACCAAAACAAACCAGCCCAGGAGTGAAAAAATTTAGAATTTTTAACCCATCCTACTCTTACAAAGAATCTCCCTAAAGCCGACCATCAGCACGGCTTTCGTCCAATCCACTCCGCCACTACGAACTATCAACTCTTGAATTTTTAGTAGCACCAGTTTGAATCAAAAACGACCAGCCTAAAGAACTGTGCTAGCCACCTTAGATCTATCGAAGGCACTTGACATGGATTGCTATCGCACATTACTGGAACTTACTCATGGCACCACTGTACCAGATAACTTAACAATGCGACTGGCAAACTATCCGCGCTGCAGGCAAGCCAAAACGCAATTTAGGGGCGCCTTGTCTTCGTCCATGATCGTGAGTACACGAGTCCCCCAAAGTTCTGTCCTTTCGCCCACTCTATTCAATTTTATGTACATGATGCACCCAACTCCCCTCCAGAAGTCAAACATGAGTCACATGCCAATGATTTTTACCCCTTCGTCCAATCACGCAACACGAAACATGCCTCTGACCTTATTGATCTTAACACACTGCACGACTTTTATTTTACAAATAGATCGTTCGAATTTTCCTCTACATAATGCTCGGTGTAGATTTAGGGGATTTCTTCTCTAGGTTCGTTCTCTCTTTTAACGAACCCGCAAAGTAGTCCCTTGGGCAGTGAATTCAGCGGGTCGACCGAGATTCACTACTTTCTACAATCCCGAAAAGGGTAATTTTGGTGGTAACAATTCTGTATTGTATTATGTTGCTTGCCCCTCTGTGTATTGCTCTTCGGCTCTCTTGTCTCGTCTACTAAAAACAATCACAAGGGTTTCCAATGATAAATTAATTTAGATTATTTTATGTCCAATTACAGAAGGCTCTGAGTGGACAGGATATAATCTAAATTCAAGGGAGGGGTCTGCGATTTATCGGTCAAATTGCCTAATTGCAATTAATTTCCAAATTACTCCGCTAACACTAACTATTCTCTCTCAGAGAATCTCTGATGAGAACTAATTATTTACTGGTCTCTTACTCCGAGAACCAACTATTCGATACAACAGCCCTCGAGTTCAACTCAACCTCCAAAGCATGCTATGTTTACTCAGTGACCCTCCCAAGGTCTTTATTTTAATTATCCCGTTAACGTTCCGACATTCCAAGGGTAGGAAGAGACCCTTTTCATGGGTAGCTAACTAATTTCAGGCATCTAAAATTTCTTTCTGTACTCTATTCCAATCCCGACCTTCTAGCTATCAGTGTAAGGGAGTTCGTCTATTAGGAGTCAAATTAAACCAGAAAGTCACCTCCGGGAAGCCAAGTAAATTTTCCGTCCGTTCATACTATTTAGGAGGCCTAATTCTCATGCTACGGTCCTATTACTATCAATTTCCTCTGGGACTACTTTTCTTTTACCTTGATTGATATTCTATTAAACGCGCATTCGACAAGCTAAATTGAAACCAATAATTACCAAGTCCACTTTGAATTAAATCCACTACTCCAAGGTTGCGATGTAAAAGCTATATCTCTATCAGCTTCTGCTCTAGTTCCCAATATATAAGTTTTCCCCCAGTTTTTAGCAAGGTGACCCATCCTCATTTCCAGGGGTTGGGCTGGGAAAGACGCGACTTTCCGGTGTCAATCTTGGACTTTCCATGCAAATTGGTCCTAAGCGCCCAAAGGTCAACATAAGGTCACCCAGGGGTCAACCGGGGTCAAACTTCCATATTTGGGTTCAGAATCCCTAACTACCAAGTTTCATTCATACCCCATTAATAGCTCACAAGTTATACCATTTCTAAGGTACATTATCACTTTTTCCGGGAAAAGGCTATTAACACCCGAAGGAGTCACCGGAGTGGTTTCAATCAGAATGGGTCTTTTTTTCGGGGACGAGCTGTAGTATCTGATGCCGCCATAAAATCGATATGCCCTCGCTCATTATTGTGCGTAAATTGCCCACTTCCGGTTTAAGGGGGTGGTTTTCCAAAGTGCTAATAGCTTCCGGTCCAACCGCCGGATTTGGTTCAAATTGTAACACAAGATGAATCTTGCCACTACCTATCATCCCTCCAAGTTTCAGCTCCCTGAAATCATTGGAGGCTGAGAAACGACTTCCGGAAGTTAGGAGTAGAGTCTATTTGCATAGGGCATAAAACCGGAAGTAGGAGTCCGAGGGGTCTCGGTTTCTAAACTTAAGCTTCTCTCAACTAGGTCTTTAACATACTATATTTTGGTTCCATTCCAACCGCTAGTTACCGTGTTCTGATAGGGCCATTTGCACTTCCGGGAACCGTTATCACTTGGCGCCGGGGCGTCCGGGGGTTATGGATTTTTGCATGCCCGGGTCAAATCATCTCTAGTATCCGTCCTTTCATAAACCTAGCCACTGTAGTTACCATTTTGGGGGGTCCGCAAATCTTACTTCACCTGAGTTCTCTGCCGTAAGAGGGACGATATCTTCGAAGATTGGACTATTTCGAACTTTACCCTTTGTTTGCTCTACTGCTTAACTTAATGACGAATCAATCTTACGCTCAGGTTACTATAGCATGTAATACAGTTGAATCACCAATTCTACAGTCTTCCCTTCTAGTCTATTATTCTCCCTAAATTTGCTAAAAGTAACTCCTAACAAGGCCTAATGATAAGTTACATAATTCTCCGCTTCGCCGTGCTCCCTAACACTTAGTCGTTTTCCCTCCCTTTAAAGTTTTAACCTTAAAATATCGCGGACCCAACAGTTAGTCCCCGTTAAATAAACAATGATATAGCACAAAGATTAACCTAAGAGGGAACGTAACTGAATTAATTTTACTCTTCATGGTACGATCCAACCCTTTCACATTCATAATCATCACTATCAATTGTCTGCACAACAGTTCAGGTGGGATCGCACTCAAGGTAACTAAGCACCAGCTAATGAGATAAA